CTGCTTATAAGAAAGAAAATAGGGTACTATGACAGAAATAAAAGGAAAATTTATACTGAAAGTTTGCTGCTGCGAGCCAGGTGTTACGCCAGGATTCATGACCTCCGAAGGAGAGGATTTTGATCCGGAGTCAGAGACGAGGCTTGACTACTTGGAGCTTTTTTGTGTAGCAAAGTTTTATTAAAGTATAACAGAGATAGGGAAAGTTTCTGACCCAGACGTGAGAAGGGGACAGAACGAGTGCCCCCTTGCTGGGTTATAGCAAGGTGCTTCATGTCTGTTAGAAAGCTATTCAACAGGTGAGAGACACACCCCAAGGCTGAGGGGGTTTCACCAGACCTCTCTCCCACAATTTGCACTTTTGAGACAGGGTGCCAGAAAACTTCATCCTAAAATTCGTATGAAACCTCAAGGGAATTTAAATCGGCAGAACAATCTTGAAAAAAAGAACAAATTTGTGGATTTCCTACTCCTGGTTCTATAACATACGACAAAACAACGGTAATCACAGCAGTGTGGCTTTGGCATAAAGACGGACATATAGGAGTCAGTGGCCAACATGCAGGTTAGGAAAACCCTGAGCTCACTTCTTTCCATGGGGATACCAAAATTATAACTATTCACAGAGCGCTTTTCAAGTGGCAAAGAATCTACCTGCCAATGAAGGAAATGCAAGAGATGCAGGTTGTATCCAAGTCAAGAAGACCCCTAGCGTAGGAAGTGGCAGCCCACTCCAGTATTCTTAGCTGGAATATCCCATGGACAGAGGAGCCTGGTGGGCTACAGTCCATGGGGTCGCAAAGAGTCAGGCATGACTGGGCACACACACACATACTAATAATACAGAACAATTACTAAAGAGAACAACCTGAAGACTAGCAGGATAATCCCCTACAGAAAAAGATATGATACAAAGAAGGAACTGCAACAAAGAAGGAAGAGCGAAGACACAATAGAGCCAAGACCAGGCCCCTGAGAGGGTGAGCCACACATGATGGTAGTGACAGTTGCGGAGTTTCTCCCCGAGAAGTCAGGAGTCTGAGCTTCACTTCGAGCTCCACAGCCAAGAGCCCTCCACCGGGAAGAGGGACCCTCAAAACATTCTGGCTTTGAGGACCAAGGGGGCTTACTTTGGGGAGAGGCAGAAGAGAGCTGTAAGAAGCAGACTCCAACCTCAAAGAGCACATGCAAATCACACAGGCTCTGGCACCCAGAGGATAAACAGGACCTTGAAAAGAGCTCAGGTAGAGTAAGGTGGCAATGATGCTGGTAAAAAAGCAATCTAGGTTTGGTGAACAGAGGCCTGAATTAAAACACCAGAATTCAGTTCAGGAAAATCGTGGCCCCTCATCCAATTAGCAGGTGTAAAGACTTGGCGGACTCCTCAGGTGGTGCGCTGGTAAAGAATCCACATGCCAATGCAGGAGACACAAGAGAGGCCAACCTGACCCCTGAGTCAGAGAGATGCCCTGGAGTAGAAAATGGCAACCGAGTCCAGTATTCTTGCCTGGAAATTCCACGGACAGAGCAGCTACAGTCCGGGGGATTGCAAAGAGGCAGGCATGACTGAGCATACACACACAATATTTTTCCAGATCTAGAGACTTTTGAATGAAGGAACCTTCATGTATTATGGAATAAGATGTTTGCAATATGACCACACATAGGTTATGTAAGTCTTCATTCCAACCTTTCTATGGAGGATCTGAGAAAGGAATATTTAATTCACTGTATTACACACTTCCAAATTATGAAAATAGGGGGAGCTCACACCTGGATACTGCAGTGAACATGGCTGGGATCAAGGATTAACCACCTGTTCAATCATGTAGGAATATGGAAACCAGATTCAGGATGAAAGTTCTCTGCATGCACCTCTCAACATCCTTCCCTGCCTCAAGTTTATAAAGATAATTATCTTTAAAAATTTTAAAGTTATTTATTTCACATTTACATATTTAACCTGCATAGACTATGCTCTTTATAGTGTGATGTGAAAATACACTTTCCTATCATAAGGATAAATAGGGACTTCCCTGGCAGTCTAGTGCTTAAGACTCTGTGCTTCCAATGCAGAGGTGCAGGTTTGAACCCTGGATGAGGAACTAAAACCCCATGTGCCTTGTGGCACAGAAAAAAAATTTTTTAATTTTAAAATCATGATTTCTTTAAAAAACAAAGATAAAGAAATTTTCCCGGTACATATATTGAGTAACCATTCTGTCTCCCAATACCCTGTAACATCATTACTTCCAGATACAAAAATCTGTATATTTACTATTCTATTTCTTAGCTTTCTCTTTTGTTCAATCAGTGTACATATTCATGAGCCAGTACCACAGTTTCTAAATTACTACAGTGTTTCAGATACTATTGTGATATCTGAAAAAAAATCACTATTTAAAGTACCAATATTCACTCTATTATACTAGATTATTTCAGTGGGTCAAGAATTTGATCCATTCAGCTGAATACTTCTGTCTCCACCTCTCTCATGATTGTGGTTAGAAATTGTCAGACTGAGGTCATCTAAAAAGTTCATTCACTCCTACATCTTGTACCTAGGCTTGGAAACCTTGAAAAGGGGACTGAAATAGCTCATACTCCTTGAGATCATAAGGGTGGGTCCTAATCTGATAGAACTGGCATCCTTATAAGAAGTGGAAGGGACAAAGACCTTTCTCTTGCACAAGTGCGCAGAAGAAAGGTCATGCAAAGACAGGGTGAGAGGTGCCCAATGCAAGGCAGGAAGAGAGGATTCACCAGAAACCAACCTTGCCATCACCTTGATCTTGGATCTCAGCCTGCAGAACTGATCAATGTCTGTTGTCTAAGCTCCACAGTCTGTAGTATTTTGTTATGGCAACCCATGCAGACTAAGGTGACAATGATAATGATAAAAAATAATAATAATAATAATGTAGGTCTGGTGAACAGAGGACTGAACAACCAGAATTCAACTCAGGAAAATCATGTTCCCTCATCCAATTACCAGATCAAGAGATTTTTGAATTCACATATTCTTGAATAAGATATATGCAATATGACCACAAATAAGTGGCATAAACCTTCATTACAATCTTTCTCTGATGGATCTGATACCATTTAGTTTGTGGATAGGAATTCTGAATTCTCTGAAGATACAAATGTGCTTTCTCAATCAAATATTACTCAAAATACTAACTCAATGTAGTTTTTACCAGACTAGCTTATTGAAATTTAATTTTAAAATGCAAATATGCAAAAATAGACGTATTTCTGATAAAAAAAATTAGCAGCGAAGGAATCCTAGGCTTTTAAGATAGTAAAGTATATTCTAAATCAAATGTACACAGTTACATTGTGTGTTAAATGGCATATGAATAAAGACATCAATGGAAGCTAGTGGAGGAATGAATTTTATGCAAACACATGCCATATTTACAAAGTTAGGATATCAAAGCCATGGGGAAAAATAATTATGCATCTAAAATAATGACAATCTAGAAAAATAATTAACATATAATCCCTACTTATCTCTTTATATCAAAGGAAAATGTAAGCATAAAATGTAAAGACTTAAACAACTGAATGTTGAAAATGTGAAGAATATTTTGACAGCATTGAGGTAGACAAATTCAAGATTTAGAGGCAAAAAATATTGATAGAATTAATTATGCAAATGTATAAATATTTGTACATGCCCCAAAATATTCTTCACATTATTAAAAAAATTTAAAAATATATCACAAGTAGGAAAAACAGTAATCCAAACACAGGGTAATAAGAATAACTAGTGTGTAACTCAATCATTAATATCAGTATGGAAAAGTGTCAGCAATCAAATACACACAAACGTTCATTAACAGGCAATTCATGAAAAAGGACTACAAATCATTTAAACAAGGATGATACTCCAATTCAATTACATTTATTGAATATCAATTAAAGTATACAGATGAAACAATTTGTTTAATCACATTTTCATATACCATAGATGTTTATCAAGCCCTGGTGCTTCAGCATGTTGTCAAATGTATTTTCCAAAGTGAGGAAAGTAATAAGTTTGTTCAAGCTCATAATGACATTTCTGCAATAACTATGAATATCAATATTTTAAATACATATACCACTTAACTCAACAATTCCACTTCTAGAAACTCATGCTGCGAAAATTTTAAAAAGACTTCTTTGCAGAATTATTTATTGTAGAAAAAGAGAACGAACTTGAAGAAAACTGGATACCTAAATTTTAGATACTTTTAAAGAATCTGAGCAGTATGAGAAAACTAGAATGAGTTAGATCTGTGAAGACTGTATGGAAAGATCTTCAGAAAACTGAGCTGCAAAATGCAAATTTATACACAGAGATATACAGGCAAACACATGTGAAAATATGCTTCTTTTGCAAAAATTATTATTTGAGTAATCTTAGAAACAGTATAGTGACTGAATCTGGAAAAATTGGGAAACTCTGATATTGGTTGGATGGACAGGAGGTACATTTTACATGATTCTATTTCTGTAGGGATTCTATTTTTTAACATTTACTATTATCCATCATACTTTCAATTTCCTATAAAAAGGAAACTGTTACACTAAATTTTCATATGTAGCAAATAAAAGTAAATGAAGAAGATAGAATATTAGTATAAAATATTTTAATTAATACAATAACAAGTGAGGATAAAAGGTAAGAGTCTGATTACAAAAAATGAGAAAGTAATAAAAGTAATGCATATTAGTTAATTATTTTTGTAATTCTGACCAACGCATTACATATGACTTATTGACTCTATTTTAAATCCATTTCAAATTTCCAGTTGCAGTGATAAACTAGACATTAATGTTTACATTCAAGGAGGGAAACTACTATTAATAACATAAACAAGTAGTTTATTCCTTAATAAAACTCATGATAAATTCTTCGAGAAAAGAAAAGTTTTCATCAAAACAATAGACTTTGACATTTGAAGTAAATTCCTGGTGTTAAACTACTTTCTCTGTAATGGATAATGCACTTATTTGCTACTTGATCTCACTTTTTTTGTCCAGAGCTTCTTTATAGCATTCATGATCTCAGAACTTCTTAGACTATAAATCAATGGGTTCAACATGGGGCTTATGACTGTATAAAACACACTCAGTGATTTGTCAATAGGGAAGGTCTTAGCAGGTCTCACATACATGAAAATGCAGGGAACAAAAAAGCAGACAACCACAGTGATGTGGGAACCACAGGTCTGGAGGGCTTTCCGCCTCCCTTCCTGACTCAGGTTCTTCAGAGAGTGCAGGATGACTCCGTAGGAGACGAGTAAGAGCAGAAACCCAAGAGTGCAGATCAGTCCTCCATTGGCCACCTCTAAAATGCCAATGACAAAGATGTCAGTACAGACGAGTTTCAATAAAGGGAACATGTCACACATAAAGTGATCAATGACATTGGGACCACAGAATGGGAGCCCATAAACAGTGCTAACTTGAATAATTGAGTGCAGAAAACCTCCAACAAAGGACACCAGCAGCAACACAACACACACCCTTTTCCTCATGATCACCAGATAATGCAAGGGCTTACAGATGGCCACATAGCAGTCATAGGCCATCACCAGCAGAAGGGATATCTCAGATCCACCTAAAAAGTGCTCTGTAAACAGCTGGGTCATACAGGATTCAAAGGATATGGTATTCTCCCCAAAGAACAAGTCTGAAATCAATCTGGGGGAAGCAGAAGAGGAATAAACTAGATCTATAAATGATAAACTAGCAAGAAAAAAATACATTGGTGAGTTCAGTGTCTTACTGACAGCTACAGTCGCAACAATAAGCAGGTTGCCCACTACAGTCAAGATGTAGAAGAACAAGAACATAACAAAAAGGACTTTCTGCTCCTTTGGATTCTGTGTGAGGCCCAAGAGGATGAAATAAGTTACATTGCTCCTTGGTTCCATCTACTCTGTATTGGTGCTGTGTTCACATGTTAGAAGCAGTGTGCCTACAAAACAAGGGGGAAATTTTTAAATGAATTATAATTTTCATCCGTCGTTACGAGTTCAATTAAAAGAATGTGTGTGGAGAATCTTTTCATATCCAATGTGTTATTGACATTTTAATTGCCAAGTGAATGATGTAGAGTTGCTTGCCCTCATGATATAACCCTCGACTAGGGATCAGATAATCCCAGACCCATGTATTAAGTTATAAGGATATTCACAGAAGTTAAGAGTCACAGTACAGGAATATATCAATCAAAAGAGAATCAGAGAAGAATTTCCAGAAGAATTAATGCTTTAGCTGAATTTTTTTTTAAAGTGAATTAGCAAGAAATGACAGGAATGAACTTTAGTGAAGTCACAAAGTGTAAAAGTGAGACTCACTTAAGGTAATTTACATGATCAATGTGAGTAGATCAAATCATGAAAAGAAGGTTTCTGTCCTGAATTGTCCCAGACCTCACTGATACTTCTTAGGTCTTTAACTGAATGTTTCCCCTTTCCTGATCAATAAACACTGGAACAGTCTAATTTTGTGCCTCAAGACCCTGTGTTTACCCTAATTTTCAAATTATATATCTCTAATTGTGGACATCCAATTGAACACAATTTAATATTTGTAAACTCCGGGAGTTGGTGATGGACAGGGAGGCCTGGCATGCTGCGGTTCTTGGGGTCACAAAGAGTCTGAACTGAACTGAACTAATATTTATAAAACAAACTTTTTTATTTTCCACTATAAATGTAGGCATTTCCTATACAAAATTTAAAGAATTATTACCTATTTATCTTGCTAAATGGTATAATTTTCCATGTTATTGTTCAGATAAAAAATTTCAGTGCTCTTCACTTATTTTTCACTCTCATAAAAATTAAACAAATCCTATTGACACTACTTTCAAAACATATCACAAATTGCAATCTCTTCTAATTTTTTTCTGCTATACTTTTTTTTTTTAAATTTCTGGTCCACTATGATAGCCTTCTACCAAGTCTCTCCATGTTTATTCTGGCCTCCAAAATTGGTTCTCCTGAAGCAGCCCAAATTGTCCTTTTCAGTCTTATTCTGAAAATATCACTCTGCTGCTCAAAAGTATTGCAGTATATCCCAATCACTCAGTCATAGTTTAATGTATCACATTTAATATTTATAGTAACATAGACTATAATCCCTGTTTCATAACTGAAAAAACTAAGGCTTAGAACATCTATTTCATGTTCCCAAAGGCACACATTTTTAAGTGCTATACCTGCAATTGAATCTAAGTTTCATTTATTTCAAAGTAAGTTAATTTCTTCCATAATAAATAAAGTCACTCAATTGTTAAGCTATCTCCCAGTATTTTCCATTAATCTTACCTTGTGGAGGCTTGTCCACAATCTGAAGAATGAGGTTTAACTCAATGTAAGCCCTGGAATTCTTTCATCCAGTATGACAGTATAGGGCAAAGGATGCATTATTACTTGAGGATAAAATTATGTCATTTGACTGTTCATTTTCTAAATGGATTCTTCTCATTATTCAGAAGGTCATTTTTATATGAAGTGTAGATTGTTTGAAAAGAATTCATGGTATACACAGAAAAACAAAGGTTTATCACATTAGGAAATAGAAAGGCCAACAAATCCTATATAAACATAGGAAGATAGCAACTAGTCATTTCCCAGGGAAATTTTTCATAAGCAACCTCTTTCCTGATAACATTAAAAAGAAAAATAGCATTTGATTGTTTAGCCCTTCTCGGTCTGTCACATTGACATGGCCAGACTGTATTTTTTAAGTCTAAGAAAGGACCTCCTGAAGAATTGATGCCACTTACAAAGTGGGTAGCATTTTCTTCGACTTAAGAATGATGATCATTAAACACCCCATCCCTTCCAGTTGCAATTATTATTGAATCTTAGATTTGGAATGTGTCCAAGACTGATTCTTGCTTAATTAATTCAGTGGGATTTTCCACAAAGTTTTTAAAGAACATCTATATGTAAAGATATTAATAGGCCAAATCACATAATTCATGTCAGAAACGTGCAACACGGGGAAAACAATAGCATTTTAGATCTCTATCAGACTGCTGCCAATCAGGAATAAGATATCAACCCAGTCATTTTGCTTCACTGAGCTTACTTGTTGTATATTTCCCCATCTGCAATAGCGAGGTTTTCTTTACTTTTAATACTCAATTTGGTCACCATAAAATTTGGTACAAATATGAAAATTACATCAAAAGACACAATTAAATATATTAAAGCTAATAATTTCAACAATTAGCACTTTTTTTTAAAAAGTAGGGCACCTCTGAAATGCCAGCAACTGTACTATAGTAAGGACACAGCAATTAATAAAACTGGGCTAAAATCAGGTAAAAGCTTCTTTTTCCTGCATTCGTTTACTATTTTCTCATAATAAAGTTAGACAATAAAGAAGAAGGTGTTAATTGTAGTTGTATTCATGGTGTGTAATATAAGAAATAGAGTACTGGATAGAAAATAAGAGGAAGAATTCTACTGTGGGTAATGTAATCAGAGAAGGTCTTTCTTAAAAAGTGATGCTTAAACTGAGATGAAAAGGAAAGGAAATGGCTACCATTAGAAGCACTGTTACAGAAAGCAAAACTAAATTAAAATTAATAACAAAATTGTCTCACTTCAGAAAATAGGAGCTATACTTAGGAAAATCTAAAATTTCCACAGGAATTTTTATGTCATCATTATGTTACAAAGGACTTGTGACAGTGTGACCATTTGTCTTCTTCCAGATTTTAATGTGGAAGCTTTAAAACTTTGATGTTGAGGAAGATGTGAGCAATGGATTTGTGACATGTGGACTTTATCATCTCAAGGTACATTCCTTCTCATGACATTGTACAGGAGACAGTGATAAAGAGCATTCACAAGAAAAAGAAATGCAAAAAATCAAAATGGCTGTCTGAGGAGGCCTTAAGAATAGCTGTGAATATGTACCACAGCTTTCTTATCCATTCATCTGCTGATGGGCATCTAGGTTGCTTCCATGTCCTGGCTATTATAAACAGTGCTGCGATGAACATTGGGGTGCACGTGTCTCTTTCAGATCTGGTTTCCTCGGTGTGTATGCCCAGGAGTGGGATTGCTGGGTCATATAGCAGTTCTATTTCCAGTTTTTTAAGAAATCTCCACACTGTTCTCCATAGCGGCTGTATTAGTTTGCATTCCCACCAACAGTATAAGAGGGTTCCCTTTTCTCCACACCCTCTCCAGCATTTATTGCTTGTAGACTTTTGGATAGCAGCCATTCTGACTGGCGTGTAATGGTACCTCATTGTGGTTTTGATTTGCATTTCTCTGATAATGAGTGATGTTGAGCATCTTTTCATGTGTTTGTTAGCCCTCTGTATGTCTTCTTTGGTGAAATGTCTGTTTAGTTCTTTGGCCCATTTTCTGATTGGTCATTTATTTTTCTGGAATTGAGCTGCAGGAGTTGCTTGTATATTTTGAAGCTGTGGTACATATATACCATGGAATATTACTCAGCCATTAAAAAGAATACATTTGAATCAGTTCTAATGAGATGGATGAAACTGGAGCCCATTATACAGAGTGAAGTAAGCCAGAAAGATAAACACCAATACAGTATATACTAATGCATATATATGGAATTTAGAAAGATGGTAATGATAACCCTATATGCAAAACAGAAAAAGAGACACAGATGTACAGAACAGACTTTTGGACTCTTTGGGAGAAGGCAAAGGTGGGATGTTTTGAAAGAACAGCATCGAAACATGTATATTATCAAGGGTGAAACAGATCACCAACCCAGGTTGGATGCATGAGACAAGTGCTCAGGGCTGGTGCACTGGGAAGATCCAGAGGGATGGGGTGGGGAGGGAGGTGGGAGGGGGGATTGGGATGGGGAACACAAGTAAATCCATGGCTGATTCATGTCAATGTATGGCAAAAACCACTACAATATTGCAAAGTAATTAGCCTCCAACTAATAAAAATAAATGGAGAAAAAAAGAATAGCTGTGAAAAGAAGCGAAGCAAAAAGCAAAGGAGAAAAGGAAAGATAATCCTATTTGAATGCAGAGTTCCAAAGAATAGCAAGGAGAGATAAGAAAGCCTTCCTCAGTGATCAGTGCAAAGAAATAGAGGAAAACAATAGAATGGGAAAGACTAGAGATCTTTTCAAGAAAATTAGAGATAACAAGGGCATCTTGGTATTCATACAAAATGGGCACAATAAAGGACAGAAATGGTATGGACCTAAGAGAAGCAGAAAATATTAAGAAGAGGTGGCAAGAATACACAGAAGAACTGTACAAAAAAGATCTTCATGACCCAGATAATCACGATGGCATGATCACTCACCTAGAGCCAGATTTCCCAGAATGTGAAGTCAAGTGTGCCTTAGAAAGCATCACTACAAACAAAGCTAGTGCAGGTGATGAAATTCCAGTTAAGCTATTTCAAATCCTAAAAGATGATGCTGTGAAAAATCATGTACTTAATATGCCAGCAAATTTGGAATACTCAGGAGTGGCCACAGAACTGGAAAAGCTCAGTTTTCATTCCAATTCCAAAGAAAGACAATGCCAAAGAATGCTCAAACTACTGCACAATTGCACTCATCTCACATGCTAGTAAAGTAATGCTCAAAATTCTCCAAACCAGGCTTCAGCAATATGTGAACCGTAAACTTCCAGATGTTCAAGCTGGTTTTAGAAAGGGTAGACCTACCAGAGATCAAGTTGCCAATATCTGCTGGATTATCAGAAAAGCAAGAGAGTTCCAGATAAACATCTATCTATGTTTTATTGACTATGCCAAAGCCTTTGACTGTGTGGATCACAAAAAACTGTGGAAAATTCTTCAAGAGATGGGAATACCAGACCACCTGACCTGCCTCTTGAGAAACCTGTATGCAGGTCAGGAAGCAACAGTTAGAACTGGACATGGAACAACAGACTGGTTCC